AACAAGAAGAATGGTGATACCAGCTTCACAACGACGAAGAAACATGGAAGGATGAGTGCTGCTGTGGGAAAAGCCATCCTGTTTGAGAGTTTTGTCAAATTTTTCAAACTAGGCTTGAGGGGCCTATTTAAGACCATAAAGAGAGTGACAGAGATGACATACAACAGATGATGCACTGTGTGGGACACCCGGAGGAAGTTTCATATAAACCTCTTCTTTAACATCACCATGGAAGAAAATATATTTGACATCCATTTGAAAGAGAGACCAAGATTCAGAGGCTGCAATAGCAAGCAATGTGCAAATAGTTGTCATCTTGGCCACTGGAGCAATTGTCTCCTCATAATTGATCCCATACTCTTGCCAATTCCCAAGAGCAACCAAGCAAGCTTAATATCAATCCAAGGAGACATCAGATATTAGTTTAATGAAGTGAACCCATTTGCATCATGTTGATTTGGATTCCACAGGACAAGGGACAATGTCGCAGGTATGGTTTCTATTTAGAGCCTCCAATTCTTCTTGCATAGCTTGTTGCCAGCATGAATGTTGCTTGACCTGTGAATAAGAGCGAGGAACATAGTCTAATGACAAAGTGGTCATGAGAGACAAGTGATCAAGCCAAGTGGATCTTTGAAGAGGAGGAATTTCACAACTTGGATTATGAGATGGAGAAGATTCTGGGAAAGGAAACTCTTCTGCATGATTTCTAGTTCGACCTCTTTGCTCATAAACCAACACAGGTTTAATAAATTTAGGAGAATCAATGTTGAAATTGTGAAGGTAAGAATAAGAGTGAAAAGATGCCGGGACATGAGGTGCAGAAACATGAGTATATTGAAGAAGTATTGGTTTTCAACGAAGACTATAATACAAGAAATGCGAATACGACAAGCAAGTGGATCCTAACAAAGGAATCTTTTTTAATAAGATGCATACCCAAGAAATGCACAACAAGCAGATTGTCCAGTTAATTTGTTTCTATCAGATGAAGATAAATGAGTATAAAAAAGACATCCAAAAATACGAAGTTGGATATAATTAGGATGAGTTTTGTGGAGACAGATATATGGAGAATGATGATGCTGAAGGTTTGGGTAATGCACTCCATTGATAAGATGCACAGCTGTAGAGATAGCTTCCACCCAAAAATGAGAGGGTGCAGATGCATTAATAAGTAGGGTCCATGTAACATCCAGAAGATGTCGATTCTCCCTATCTGGTACTCTATTTTGTTGGGGAGTAGAGGTACAAGTCCGCTGAAAAATTATTCCCTCATTTAGAATAAAAGTTCGAAACCCATTGGATATATAGTCACCTCCAGGATCTGATCTCAAAACCTTGATAGATACAGAAAATTAACTTCTGACGTAAGCCAGAAAATGCTTAAAGGTGTTAAAAACACCAGATTTTGAATGTAAAAAATAAATCTGTGTGACACCTATAATCATTAACGAAAATTACAAGATACTTGCAGCAAGAATGAGAGGAAAAAGGACCTTCACCCATGGTTCAAAGTCGCGGTATCAGCCATCGACTCGGAGGGCTCTAAGACACATCAATTGCAGCACGCTATCGGGCGATACGACCTAAAAGAAAATGTTGAATATGACGAGGAATTCAAATTATATCACACTGTCGCGAAACTGTAGCAGTCAACTTGGTGATGATAGCTCAATGACTCAAGATTGACTAGGATAAAACTCAAACGACTCGGTTGAGTCTTGCAAGACTCAACATTTTTAAGGATCTTATAACAACATCGTCTCGAAAGGTGTCGAATTGGATACGGCTCAGCCAACTTGTATCAATATCGGCCGATACTTTTGAACCATGGCTTCACTTTATACATAGGTAGCACGTATACTTTCCAAAAGGGTGTTGTGGCATGTCGGACACGACTAAAAGTGTCCTAAATAGTGAACTCAGTCGAACACGACTAGGACACGATGTGTTCATGGCCAGGATATGTCTAGCAAGTATCGAAATTTTGTTTCGAAGTACCGTTTCGGTCATCTAAAAAATGAAAACGTTTCGGAAACGCAATGAAAACGCGAAAAAAATATGGAAACGCGTGAAAACACAAATACAATCCATTAATCTATAAAGATAAGCTAAAAAATTGATTAATTCAACATATTTATTGACTTAACATCCATTTATACAAGAATAAATTTAAATTGGAGGAAAAAAAAAGGCTTGACATAAAGCAAAAATCACTTAAATTAGTTTTGAACACTTAATTTTTATCAAATAAACACATTTTTATATAATATTAAGGTCTCATAATACACATAAAATGCTAATGAGTATATACTTACATGATTACATCCATCCCCCTGTGGAGTGTCGAGCAGGCTCATACATCGGTGTAGGCTCTGGGTAGCTACTTAGAGAAACTCCATATGTGACATAAATATGATGACAATAATTACTTCAACACATATTATTACGATAATATGAATTATATTCTCTCCCAAACCTCTGATAATTAAGTGTAATTGTAGTGGGTATCAAGTGTAATTGTAGTGGGTATCAAGTGTAATTGTAGTGGGTATCAATTGTAATTACAATGGGTATTAATTACTAAATGTAATTGCAGTGGGGTGGTAAATATAATTACAATATATATTAAATATAATTACTGTTGGGTATTGAATGTAATTACAGTATGTATTAAATATAATTATTCATACTTGTAACCAAAAAAAAAAAAATATATATATATATATAAGGCAGACGACCCACCACAGTAAACGACTCAGACACACCACAAACGACTTCAAACAAAACACAGAGAGGCAAGGCGATCGCGATCGCAATGCCGATGTCGAAGCCAGAGTGGGAGAGAGAGCGAAAGAGAGGAAGAAGAAGAAGATACCTCGGGCTCATGGTCGCAGCGATGAAGAAGGCTCTGCGTGAAAAATCCGAGCCATAGATCTGCATGGAAAAACCCAAAAATGGCTGGATCTACTCAAATCTGGACTCAAGGTAAGTTCCTCTAGTTTTCTCCTTCAATTTCTCCGTCTCTTCGAGTTCCTGTGGTGCCTTTCCCTCTCTCTTTTGTCTGAACCTAGACAGTTTCTCTTCTCTCTTCTGTCTATTTTTTTTTTTTTTGCTTGGAAGACCTGATTTATGTGATTTCTGTGTTTTATTTCCGATTTTTTCTCTGTAAAATTTGACTAACTTGTGGAAGGAATCTGCTTTCTATGCCTCATGTGATTTCTGTGTTTTTTCTCTGTGAATTCTAATTGACTTGTGAAAAGAATCTGCTTTCTAGCATCTCTGGTTTTTTTTTTTGGTTTTTTTCTTTTGATCTGGAGTGAACCGAATCGAATCTATACTGTTTCGACCAAAACGGTACTGTTTCGATCGAAACGGTCCGACACAGTGCCGTTTCGAACGAAACATTGAAATTTTAGTATTCATCCCCTATTTCGTGTCGGTGTGTTAAAATTTCAAAACATTTCGGACGTTTCGACACGACATTTCGTTCCTTGATGTCTAGGACATAGCCAAGATAATCTAGAAGACTAGAATGAAGCCAAGAAATTTTTTATCAAAAAAAACTTATAACTATCAAAAGGAATGTGATTTTTACTTTTTTTTTTATTTATTTTTTGTTATGTAACTTATGTATTATGAATGTTAATGGATGCAATGATATTTGACGAAAATGATAGATATGAAATTTGATCTATTTCAATTTTATCCAAAAAAATAATATTTGTTAGGCTTTATTATTAATGTTTTTTATAATATATGCTTTATTTTTAATATATTACAATTCTATTATTATTGAAAAAATATATTATATTACTTTAATAGTCATACCCTTGTCTTATACTTTCGAATTTTGTCACATCCCCATGTCTGTATCATTTCGAATACAACATGTGTGTGTATATCAGTACTTCCTAGCCACCCATACATCTGTATGAATGACTTCAAAGCTTGAACGATACAACATAAGGCTGAACGATACAACATAAGGCTTGAACGATCAAGCTTGTCAAATGATCGGCGATATTCCTGAACAAAGAACGCTGACAAACTCCTTAGGAGAAACTGTATACAAAGATTTAGCTCTGAACAAAAGCTCAAGGGGAGTTTTTGACAAAAGAACACTACTACAATTCTGATAGAGGATATAAGTTTTGCTGTAAGAAAAATATCACCCAATGAGATTTGGAGAAAACCCACAGCAAATATTAAAGACTGAGCAACCTCTAAGAATTGGCAAGCCTTTCATTCTGAGAAAATGCTCTATGATGGAGTATGTAACCTGTTGGTGAAGAATATCATTGTCTAAGATAAGGATCAATTTTGATTCCATGCCTGGTTTCAGTTAACTGGGACAGAACGGTTTGCAAATCCTTCAACAATATTTTGGAAGAATGATGGAAGACAGAAAAAAATTTAAAAATTCATTTCCAAAATACCAGAACACTTCGAAGCAAAAGCATGTGAACAAGAGCAAGAGGAAGACCAATCACTCTTACGCAATAACTTGCATTTTTATTCTATCTTAGTAGCTAAGCGATTTAGTTTGTTGTTAGTTAGAATCTCTATCCTAGTAGCAGGAAGCTTTGCAGCGGTAACCAATAACAAGAACTGATGAATTTATTAGTTTGTCCTTTACTGCTTAGGTGACTTCCTAGTTCCTCCTAGTAGCTAGGTAGCTTAGACGAACTAGTTCTTTGTGGCTTGCCCCAAGCTAGGTTTTTAATCCTTTAAGACTCTATTATGAAGTAGGGTCCTCGAACCTCGCTTATTCCGACCAAGGCAAGTCAAAGTCCCCATAGTTCTGAATAAGTTGACCAATACTTAGCTTACGTGTTGCAATTTCAAACTTTGTTTTCTCACAAATTTGATCCTCAGATATAGGTCTATCCAGAGCATGTTAAAATGAGCGAAACCCAGACAAAGGAAGTTACAAAAAAGTAAACAGGAGAAAATAGGCATGAACAGACACGATCACTGTAATGTCACTTTAGAAATTAAATAAAAAACACCGAAAACACCTTGAATTTGTCTCTATATATGGAAACTGCTTCTGCATGGGCCAAGAGCTGGTGGTATGCAACCAAATATGGTTCGGTTGATGAATGTTCACGTCTTCCAGGGGCATATATCCCAGTACAGTATCCATTCACCGCAGATTGATGAGGCTCATTCAGTGTAATCCACTTCTTCACTCTATCACCAAAGCTGGCAAAGCAAGTTTCTGCATAGATGGCAAAGTATTGTCTGGATGTTCACCAGAAGAAAAAGCCATAATGATTGTTAATTCTTAATGTGCAAGCAGAAATGTATCCGCTGGAAAAGAATAATATGTATCTTAACAGGGCAGCAAACAGAAGGCTTAAGTTTTTTTCTGAAGGAAACAAAGATTTTATTAATGCTGGTAAGGATTCAGCACAAAAATGTGAGCAAAGTTAGACAAATTGTCAAACCCTATAGCAAACATATAAGCACTACATAGAAACAGAAAGATAAAAAGAAACTTTTTGGCTATTTTATAAGTTTAATGAAACAATCCAGCTCGCCAAAAAGGAAAAAGGGGGGGGGGGAGCACATTGTCAAATTCATTTGAGACCAATGCCCAAAAAGATGCAAAATGACAGGCAAACTACTGAGCTAATAAGGCTATATTTCATTTCCTAAGTTATTATTACCAAACAAAATTCAAGGGAAAAGTCGATGATGACATCATTGAGGAATTAAGTCAGATGCAGCAATGAACAAATTAACATCAACAGGCATTTACCATTCCATCAGAGCAAAACTTGTACTCCAATACAAAGGTTGCTAAGTGCTACTTGGCTTTGAAGCCACCCAACAATTATCTAACCATCTAGCCACCCCACTGCTACAGCCTATAGAGTTGCTGCAATCTGGCCCAAGTGCAAGAAGCACATGGAGGAGGCTAGTCCTTTGTAAAAGACAATAAAAGTCAGCACTTTCTCTATTTAAACTATCTATCAATCACCCAATCTTCTGGCTCAAAAAGTTACCAGAGAAATCATGTAAGGCTGTCGTCACATATAATTGAGCTGAGGTGGCCAGAGGATTTGTCAAAATATAGTCATTCTGTTTATTCATCAAGGTTACTATACGAGATTTTCTGACTCCAGAACCGAGATATCCATTACACTAGGTGATAATGATTCATTTTTTGACTACCAAGGTCATCAGAGAATACATGACTGTGTTGCATTTGTCTTTCCATTATATAACTCATAATGGAAGAAAAAGAGTACAGTCTGTAGTTATCTTCAAACTTGGTCTTATCTGCCACTGAGAGGGACTTTGCAGGCATCTCTGTCATGACTGCTAATGAAATGGGGAATTCACATATTTTGCAGCTCCTACATGGTACACAGTTTTCCTTAGAATGTTACATCCTGTATGAAATGGAAAACCTATTCAGGGAACTTCTGACACAATTATTCAATTGGTTTTACACAATGGGAACATGTAATCATATGACACCTCAATATACAGACCAGACCCTACACCTTTAGATCATCCAACCTCCTTATCACACATGGATATTCTGTACCCGAGTTGCCAGACAGGGTATGGCATGTTGGTCCTACAATGAGTACGCTGTATCTATGCCTCGGATCTAGATGCAAGGGGCATTGCCAATAATTGCAAACCTTCTCGAAGGTGGACCTCACATGAATAAACTCCAACTTGGACCCCTTTCACAAAGCTTTCCCTTTTCATATGCAACCTAACCCCTAAATGCCTACCTGGGTAGGGAGCAAGGCCCCAGGAGCTCTTCAAGCATGGTGATCAACAGCATGGAGGTCAAGCTGCTGCACAATCCTGTATTTGGCCCTTCTTAACTGGGGCGAGTTGCCATTTGTCCCCCAGAAATCTGGGCATGCTTGTCATGATCTCTGTACTTCCTATACATACTGACAATAGCACATCTACATATTTGAGTCCCTCCAGTTGGCTAATGTTAGGTTGGAATCCAAGTCCAAAAAGAAAGGTTAAGTTCAAGCATCCCCAATTCCACCTTTAGGTTGGAATCCATAGCCATAGATATCTATCCCTTCCTGCCTCCCTCTCCTTCTCTCTAACCTAAGCATTCCTAGGCTCTCATCCAGTCATCCTACCCAGACATCTGGACTGGGTAGGATGAACATGTAACCAAAGCATTACATGTTGGGGGTCCAACAACCGTACAATTACTACCACACACAAGCTCAAAATTGCATGAACATGTAATGCCTTCTCCACATTTCATTCTAAAAGCTTGATGAAAACCAGTTACAATGTTACAAAATCTGTTCCACTTCTAAAAGATTGATCTCTCTCTCTACCAGCCCTCAAACCCACAACCTGGTGGTTGGAATTTGAGGTCCACAACCACCAAGTTAGATTGATAAAAACAATTAAAATGCTAATTGGCCTGTGTTTCTGATTATATTTTAGGTACAATTGAAGCAAGCATTCCATTGATACCAGAAGAGGCTTGATAGACATCAAGTAATTTTCACAAGTGTATGGTTGCACACAAAGAACAAAAGAACTCACACAATTTGCTTATCTAACCACCCTCCCATAGACTCGTGAAGGTGTAACGGAAGATCCCAATGGTATAACGTGACATAAGGCTCGATGCCTGCAATAAGATAGCAACCAGTTACTTGTCTTACAAGGAAAAAAAACAAAGAAGAAATCATATTGTACCCTTTTCAAGAAGAGCATTAATGACATTGTTGTAGTGCGTAATCCCCTCATCATTGATTTTGGTTCCCAAACCATCTGTAAGCACAAAGAAAAACAGTTCGACAGACCGACTATTGTCATTTGCTCAATATAAGGAAGCTGAAGGAGAAGTTAGTTCAGAGGAAAGAAAAGATAGAAAGAAAAAAAAAAAGACAACTTATAGTGGCGAGCAATTTGTTCATTATATGCATAAATGTGCCAGTGATTACAAAACTTGCTATTTCTGATAAAAACATTTAATGGTTCAGAAAGAGGACAAGTGAAACTGGAGTGTCAATAGTGTTAGAGTACTAGCATATTACATTACGGGTAGTTTAGTCACTTACTTTAGTTTTATGCTGCTCTACCATATAAGAGCCTCTATGGTGTAGCTTAGGTGTGTTGTTGCACAAATTAATTGTACCGCAATAATATTCTCTCATTCTTTCTTCTATTTTCTCTCTCTTCTCTGTCAATTATGTGATGCAATCCATAAGATGCTCAAGGAAACGCAAATTCGAAGATGTGAAAGATAATAAAATTGACTTTTCATCAATACAGGGAGAGATATTCAAAATTTTAAGCAGTTACATGTTTCTTGAGTTGTGTGAATCAATTATAACACTAGTTGTGATGCCTACGGAACCCTTAGAGTAATTCCTAACAAAAACTATTGTTCACACTACTGTTCACAGCCCCATTACTGTACACAAGTATTGTTCATAGTCCCTACACAGCCCCTATTTTTATTTTACAAAGTTGTCCTACATCAGTTTGATATCAGAACCAAAAAAATCCTATATTATGCGGCTTAAATATTGATATATGATGATGGAGATCCAAGATTTTGATGGTGGGGATGATTCTACAACATTCCCTAGTTGGCTTGCTTCTATGGAGAACTATTTTGTGAGGTATAATTTCTCGGATGAGAAGAGAGTAAGGCTTGCTAAGATGAAACTTGTAGGCTTGACAAAAATTTGGTGGTTTGGTGTTGAAGAAGATTTAAGATGATTGGGATTGTCGTCAATCAACACATGGCAAGAGATGAAAGCTAAGTTTCAACAGAAGTATATGCCCTCCAACTATTGTAGCAAGTTGTGCAAACAACTTATTAATCTGCAACAAGGCAATCTATTTGTCCCAGAGTATATTTAAAGATTTAAAGACCTAATATTGAAAAATCATATCGTAGACGAACTTTGCCAAATAATTACTCGATTCAAGGCTGGTTTAAGAGAAAATATAAAAACAGAGATACTTGGGCAGCCACTATAAAACATAAAGTATGCATTTCAAGTGGCACTTGGTACGGAAATGTACCTAAATTTCCTTTACCAAGTAAGTACATCGAGGGTTTCTTTTCGCAAAGGGATAAAACTCAAAGTTATTTAGATTTTACTATACAACTAGAGAAGATTCATCAAAAGCAATCCAAAGCAACAACTGATCGAATAATTCAAGATGATGGAAATCAAGTCGAAGAATCAACACAATACCAAGCAACTACGCTACTTACTTGTCAAGAGGCTAAGGTAAAAAGTGAATATCCAAACAATTTTTTTGTTGTGGAGCCTGACAAGATGGAAAATCCAGCAACTAGTATTAAATCAAATAAGCCTTTAGAGATGAGTACGTTACTACCTAAGAGCTCTGAAATAGTGCTAAAAGTGTTGCCCGGTGAAATTGTTCCCATTAATGACTTTCAACCGACAACACTGATGTTCTAAGAGCTTGATTTGTTTGGATCTTTCAAGGATCTACACAAAGAGTCATCAATGCTTCTTTCTATCCACTTTGTTCCACCAATTAATTTTATCATTCCAGAAAAATTCAACGACACAATCAAGGGGATCAATTTCCAAATTTTTCTTTGTTCCCTCAATTAGAGAAGAAAAGGAGACATCACCTTAAAGCTTCTCAGAGACAGCTACATATACAAGTTCAAAGTTTTTGAACTGTTATAATACAACACTTTAAAACTCGAGGTCGAGTTTTCTCCAACCGGGGAAGAATGATATAATCCATAAGATGCTCAAGGAAACACAAATTTAAAGATGTGAAAGATAATAAAATTGACTTTCCATCAAAACAAAGAGATATTCAAAATTTTCAGCAATTACATGTTTCTTGAGTTGTGTGATGCAATTTTAACCCTATGTGTGATGCCTACGGAACCCTAAGAGTGATTCCTAACCAAAATTATTGTTCATGCTACTGTTCACGAGTACTGTTCAAAGTCCCTAAACAGTCCTTATTTTTATTTTACAAAATTGTCCTACATCATTATATAATCAAGTTTACATGGTATTAGAGCACTTTACAATCCTACGCAAGTTTAAAAACACAGTAGTATTCATCAGAGGAAGTTAATTGGATCCAACCTAGGGCTAACGTCAACCTCAGTGAAGATGATGTCACAATGATGTCATCATCCAGCGGCCATTGAAGACAACTTGTTGATTGATTCTCTATGGGCTTTTACCTGGTGCTATTAGTTTTTGATTTCGTGGTCTTTTGATCGAATTTTCGATTTTCTGAAGAATTTTGAGGTATTTTTCGTGATTTTTGCAATCTGGTTTCTTGGCAAGATTTCTTTGATTTTTCTTCTCTCAAACTCTCCTACCAAGTGTGGATTAGGGTTATTGATGCTGATTGAACCAAAACATCCAGAAGAGCGTTATGCTAAAAATTTGATTTCTCTTTCGGCTAGAGAATTTCTCCACTGGTCTGCTCACAGTTAATTTTCTTGATCCCCTGGTACTATTGCTGGTTGTGAAGCCCTTTGCCGATTGCAAAATTCTCACTGCTGTGGCTGCGAGTTTATTTGTTCTTCTTGCACTTGTCTCTGCTCAGACTAGTTTGAGATTTTGTGTATTGAACCTACCGTTGGGTAATTCTTCCATAGTTGAGTTGATATCTGAAGTTTTGTTTGGTTGATTCTGTTGGTTCAGCTAAGAGTAGTGTGCACCAGTGATTCTCCTGTGTAGTTTGGCTGATGTCTAAGAGTTCTGGTTTGCTGGATTGACTGGTTTTTTGCTGATTCTTGGCTCTGTGATCAACTGACCTGTGCTATGATCTCCTTCTTGGTTGCACAATAGTGTTGCAAACCTCCACTAGTGCTCTCCTGCTGGCCTTCATTCACATCCGGTATTCTTGCTGGGAACCTACCACAACCTGCTGGACCTTTGTTTGCTATTAGGGCTTGATATGTTGGGCCTTTATTTGGTGTTATTTGAGCTTTGGTGTGGCTATTTGGATTTGGCAGGTTGTAGGTTTGATTTCTTAGCTCGCAGATTGTTGGATGCTAGTATTTGGGTTTGGGCTACTGTTTTTCCTACAGACTTTGACTTCTTTGGATTTTGCTAGTTGCTAGCCCTAGAATTGAGCTTTGGGCTTTGTGTTTTGGATTTAGCTCAGGTAATTTGATTTGACTCTCATCACTCCATTAGTTCAATATTGACTACGATTCCTGTTAGAGTTCATATTTTTTATTTTGAGTGTTGAAGAGTAGTATTTCTCAAGTAATATAAACGAGCTGCAAGCCTAGTGGCTAAGAACTCGAATTTCCTCGCTCAATGTTTGGGTTTGAGTCTCCATAAC